AAATATCCTTCGGCGCAATAAATGGCAGTACATTCTTTACACACAGGTAACACAGGTTTCACAGCTTCTGTTCAGAGAAAAATTAACCTGGAAGTCTGTAACAAACACCGAACTTTGTGGTTGGGCGTAGCTTTAGCGTTAGTGAAATCCCGAAGAGCTCAAATGACGAGCACTCGTCCAGCTGGCGTGTGCGGGCCTGATCATAAGGCAGCAGGGGTTCACCTCCAGACTGTCAATGATAAACAAGCATCTAAGGGTGCAAATGAGCATGCCTATGTTGCTATGAGAGATGGGAGGGGACAGCAAAAAAGGAGGGGTGGGGGTTTACAGAGGTCCTTGTAACCTATCAGGGAGTCTCTGAGCCAATGAAGAGCAGTATCTCATGCGAGAGGATGAAGGTGAAGAAGTAGACACAGAGGTCAGCGAAGACGTCACCCATCCTCCTGTAGGTGTCCATGGAGCGATTGATGACCTCGGCAGGGATGCCGGACAGTAACAGGGCAGCAGTTAGCACAGTGGTCTGGGTCTTCTTCTCTACCTGCAGAAACAGGAGAACCCAAAGCACATTATATGCAAATATATGTGCTTACTTCTCATTATTAATCAATCTATTTTTGCACTAAACAAATCAAGATTAAAATGTTCAAAAACTAAAACTCCATTAGAAATTTGTGCCAAAAGTTCCTTTAGTGGCCACTTGAGGCTGGCTCAAAGAGCAAGTCAATCCCCATAGACTCCCATGTTAAAATGCCCAGCTTTGCAGCAGAAAGAAACAGGTTTACAACCTGCTTTGGTTGCTAAATTAAGTGGAGTTACTGAACTGGACCTCTCCATCTATTCTTCTGGTGATGACTTAACAATCCACCAGCTTTTCCAAATATGATCACTTCTTATTTAAAAACAAGAACAGCAGCTGTTAAAATTAAACCCTGAGCCTTCAAAATGAGTCCAAAACTAGTGGGTGATGTCACGGTGGCTATGTCCATGTTTTAAAATATCACTGGACACTTTCTTTAGTACCAGTACCAGTTTGGACCCTCTGTGGCATAAATTCAATATGCTCCTGGAAATATTCCTCACATATTTTGGACCATACTGACATTAAAGCACCACACAGTCGCTGTGGATTTGTTAGCTGAACATCCATTATGCAGATCTCCAATTCCACCACATCATAAATGAGTACAGTGAACTCAACGTCATGTTCATGAAAGCAGTTCAAGAAGTTGGGTATACTGTAGTCATAATGGGATGGGCATGGTCGGCAACAGTACACCAAAATCTGACCCTACTATCTGAATGACACAGCAGAAATTCAGACTCATTGGAGCAGGCAGCATTTTTCCAAACTTCTATTGTCCAATTTTTGAGACCCTGTATGATCTGTAGCTTCAGTTTCCCTTTCTTAGCCGACAGAAGAAGCACCCGGTGTGGTCTTCTGCTGCTATAGCCCATCTGCTTCAAGGTTCAGGGTATTTTGCATTTAAAGGTGCTCTTCTGTATACCTTAGTTTTAACAAGTTCTTTGAGTCAAACCCTCAACATGGATTTTTCTCACAGAGAATTGCTGATCATAAGATATTTTCTCTTTTTTCAACCATTATCTGTAAACCCAAGAGATGATTGTCTGGGGAAATCTTAGTAGGTCAGTTTCTGAAATACTCAGACTGCCTAACTGGCACCAGAAACCATGCTATGTTACATTTAAATCATCTTTCATTCCCAGATTTTCTGATGCTCGGTTTCAGCAGGTTGTTTTAATCTGTCTAATTGTTGAACAGGTATTTGTCTTTTCCTTATTAGCAAATAGTTTTTATTGTACTTTGTATGAACTTGGCATTGGTTGAGAAGATTGTGGCTGAAAGGACTGGGCTGTCAGAAACAGCACAACTACATCGGAACAACTGCAATAGGTCATTGTATTTGATTTTCCATTTATACAGAGAAAAACAAAACTAAAATATTATTCGTAGTGCTGTCCGCTCTGCATGCACAATGTGTGCATGCAGAGAGATGAGAGTCTTAAAAAATAAAAACTCACCTTTGGAAAGTATTTGGACAACCCCATGTAGGCCAGTTCAAGTGTCAGAAATGGAGCAAATATTGACTAAAATAAAACAAGATAAATGTAGCATTAACAAACAAATAAATAAATACATATTTGGTACTGATACTGGCATAAAATGTAAAAATGAACTCCTTACTAGTGCACTAACAAGTCTGTGTTAAAAACCAAAGGCTCACCAGATACTTGCAGACAAAAACCCTGACAAAAACAGCAAGGAGGATGCTGCCGATGAGCCTGAAGACCCTGAAGGGATCAAACTCCTCTGAGTCCGACCTTCCGTCCTCTGCCGGCTTTTCATTGGCCAGCTGACCCCGAAGCTTCATGGCATCATCAAAACGAGAAAAGTAGGATGCAGAGAGAAAGCCTGGACGAGGAGAGCCACTGACATCATCTGACGGCCGCTCGCCCCTCGGTCTCCGCCGGACTCCTCCGATATCATCTTCTGAGGATCCTTCGGGTGGTTCACTGGAGAGCTCTGGCAGGGGTGAGCCTCTCCTCTCCGGGGTGGAGCTGTGGGAGTGACTGCCAATCCCTGGAGACGGTCTCGGAGAAGATGAGGCAGTGGACCATGGCTCTAGAGGCAGATGGAATCGGGGTTCTGCAGGACGCCGCGACGCTCCTGACAATGAGAAGACAATAATCAATAATATGACATTAGCTAGTGCTAAAATGATTGGTCACCCCCCCGTCCCAAAAAACCCCAAATCCAGGTGTGATGTAACTGCAGTTTTAGCTTTAATTCAAAAGGATTTAACAAATTAATTAATTATCTTTATAAACAAATTGCAAGCAGTTTAGATTTTGTACAGGGGACTATGGTTTTACTTCAGTTCAGAGACAACATAATATGGATAACAGATTGTAGTACCAGTAAGTTTCCATTAAGTTTTTTTTTTGCTGGGTCTGACGGCGTGAAGACACTGATGAGTTCCAGCTTGTCTGTGTTGTTTAAGTTAAACTGGGAAGTTAATGTCAGCATAATTTTTTGCCTCACAGTGTTCAAGAGCACAGGAGTGAGTGAGAACAGAGAGGTCTGAGCAAAAACAATCAGGACTTGTCAAAACTCATAGTATGTTCCACAGAATTGAGAATTTCAACACATTCAAGTCTGGGAAGATTGATTTTGGATATTTAGAGTAAGATAACTTCAGCGAGGGCACTCATGATGATGGAGGAGGACCTGGGCTCGGTAGATATGGCCACACTGAAGAAGAGGGCTTGAAGAAGTCAATTAAGAAGAGAACAGTGACTGATGATGATGGTCGCTTCGATCACTTTTTGAAACATGATAACTATGATGTGTCGCCAAAGAAAGGGAACGACATCATAGACAGTACTGCTGGTGTTGTGCCATAGAGTGATTGTCTGCCACTTCTGATTTTTCTATGCATTTTCAATGTATAATATCTTTGCTTATTGTACCTACATTATAATAAATACAGTCATTTTTGGCCACTTAAAATATCTCAATAATTATTTGTTGCAATTTCAGCTCCCTTTTGGCCATATCTCTCTATTCTTCATGCCAATGACACTTTTTACCCTGACAAATAAAGGATATATAAAAGTCACAGCCAAAAACCAACTGCAGCTTTTACCTTGTCACTCACTCCTGTGCTTTCTGGTTCCAAATGACTAGATATTTGTTACAAGAGATATGCTTGGCATATATGTACTTTTTGTTTTCTTATGTACTGACTACTGCAGCTTCTCTGCAGGTGTCTTAAAGCCTGTGTGCAATAAGACAGGTTGGCTGAGGTACCTTCTATCTACACTGCTGTATTGTTGTGTATTAATTATTCTGTTTATCAGAGCTGAGCAGCCTGTGAGCCACCCTCTGATCTCCACCTGCTAATGCTAACAACATTTAGCATGATTTGAATCCCAAGCTGCTGCCATTTTCCTCTTCTAGTTAATATATCTGTAGTGAGCCCGATTATTTACATAGTAAGTTATGGTCCTAAAAGACAGCACTAACGTCCTAACTGCAGCCGCAGGATGAGGCAGGTCTCTGTCACGACAGCGTGTTTCAATAGGAAAGACACGCCCAGGAGAAATTCAGAGGATCGTTTGTTACCGATTACCGTTATTTTCAGGCTCGTTTTTGGTGATTCCCACGATCCTGTTCATCCTGTCCTCTGAATTCATGAGCAGCCTTTTCCTTCGGATCTCCGCTCTTTTCTGTGCCGCCGACATGGAGCCCGTCTTCTCCTCGCTGGCCTCCCCGGACTCCATGTCGATAATTAAGTAAATGACCCTTTAATGCAAACTCAACTCACAGTACATAAAGCTAGTGCTTCAGTAGCTCACGGTACACGACACAGAAGCCTCAGACCACTGAATTAAACGCTTAACACGAAAGAGCGACGAGCCTTAACTGTGGCGCACAGTGATGATGTCAGCACGGCTTTTTTAGATTACGTCAACGATATGCGATGATTTATTACGGTCAATAGTAATACAATAATAATAATAGTGAAGGGGCCGGATGGGTATATTCTGCAAAAAGGCAAATTTACAACAAAACGGGTCATATATTTAAAAGAGAAAGGTGATATTTAAAACAAATAAAAACAAATGGCAAGTTTACAAGAAAAAGGTAAAAAAAAAAAAACTATATAAATTTATGGTAAATAAATTTATTTGTTCTTAGTTTGTTTAAATCCTCAGCCTCTTTATGCCTTTAATCGGCTCTAATACGCCTTCATAAAACTGTATAGCAATATTAGCATTTGACGAGCATATAAAAGTACAAAGAAACACGAAGGAAACAATGTGTTCTGAGTGGCAAAGCATAAGCATAACAAAGCATAAAGCATAAAAAACGGGATAATTTCATTTTTAGTTTCATTTTTGTTTTTCGAAATGGCACCAAATTTTAGATTTTCTCTAGACCTCAAGAGGCTGGAAGTGACAAGTTCTGCCTTTTTAAAAAAAAATCCATTTCTGAATGGTCTGTAGTGTTAATAGGAAAAATAGCTCTAACCTCTAGGTTTGGAGTATTCTTTACTCAAGCTGAAATAAAAAGTGCATTAACGATGCAAAAAAAAAATCAGACCTGAAATAACAATTTTTTTCAGATATTTATATAAAAGCAGGGCATATTGATTTAAATAATTGTAACTGAGCTATGGAAAAACTGAAGAAATGAAACAACTTGATCATTTTATTTGTTTCATCTTTTGGTCATTGGTTATATTAAAGCAATGAAGTGATATAATTAAAGGTCTGAGAAAAATGCTTATTGCAAATGTCAACACAGCACATACTGATGCTGAAAAACAGACAGACAGATATCATTAAAAGCCTGAACTTACCACAACTTTCATACCCTTGATGGGTGTCTGTACATCTCACACTCTATGGGCCTCTGTTAGCATGTTAAAGTTAATGACAGCACAATTTTTAAAAAACGACCGAACAAGAGGGGAAAACTTCTTCTCTCTGAAATGAACACATCAGCACAGCTTACATTTGCAAAGTTGCATCTGAACAAACCACTTCTTCTTCTAGAAGAATCACCATATCAATATAAATGTCCACTCGTCAATATTCTACGATAGAGTACTAGCACTGTAGAGAAAGGTGGGATTGAAGTCCACTTGGCTAACCTCTCACTACATTGGAGATAGGGTAAAAGGTCTTAACATCCAGCTTTTATGATAACAATGAAACAAAGTTCTAGAAAAGATCTTATCAATGTGTGTTTTTAATTTGTATCAAAGTTATAATTAAAGTATACGTCTAAGTAATATGATGAATGAGAAATCTGAGTAATGAAACTGATTTAATATTTAATCTCCTGACCTTTTGCTGTGATTTGGTGTGTGCGTGTGCTTTTGTGCTGAGGTTGATTGTACCAGCAGGGAATCTAAATATGGCACACAGCCTAGAGCTTGTCTGAGGTCTGTAGTGCTTGGTCAGAATGACTAAGCAAATACTCAGAGAAAGTTTGATTTTTAACGTTTATGATTTAATTAATTTAATTGATAAAACAAAATTATATGAAGTAAATTGTGATTGACAAACTGAGTTTTGAAGAGTAAAGATGAGAGAAAGTATTTCTATATAATGAGCTGTTTGGAAGATTGGATCTAAGCAGATCCAGCAGAGACAACAGAGGGATCTTTTGCTGAGCCGGGGACAGAGGCTGACTGGAATTTATTCTTTATTGACAAAAAACAAACAAAAAAAGTGTGGTGCTAAGAAACAAATATTTTATGGTGATAAGTTAATAAATTTTCACTCAATTGTCACTTTTCTCCCCTTTAATTATCTTATACCAACTATAAAGCATGATGGCACAGGCATGATGATTTGGCCTTGCTCTGCAGCCACAGGGCACTGTCATGGCTGCTGTCATTGAGTTGACCATGAACTCTTAATAAATACTAAAGTATTCTAAGGTGAAATGTGAGGCACAGCTAAAACCTTACTGGAACTGGGTCACACAACAGGACAATGAACCCCAGAACAAATTTCCAAATGAGTGCCTCAAAGCCCAGGCCTCCACCTGACTGGAGTGAATATCCACAAACTTCAATAATCTGAAACAACATTGTAAAGAAGAGTGGACCAGAAGTCATATGGAAAATAATTATTTCAAGTTATTTCATGTCACGCTGATGTTCATCTGAGGTTGTATTTAAATCATTTTAGAACCTGTAAGGACAAAATGATTTTTTGTTACATCCTGATTACATGAAGCCTAAGAATTAAAGGAGTGTGTACTTTAGTTTTTACAATGCCTGTACAATTAGGGAACACAGAGTGGGTCAAGAAGAATCAGAGAAGCCTCTCAGATTAGAGAAAAAACCTAAAATGAGTCTACTTTCCTTCAACATGAGTACTGAGACTGAGGTCCTGCGCACAAACACCGATGATACAGAGGTAGAAATTCATCAGTGCTGCTACTGTTTTTGAACAGTGTATAGATGTGGGGCAAAGCCAATATTGATGATCCACTTTATACTCAAGACACAGCTAATAACTAACAGGTAAACCTCCACCCACCCTCCAACCAATTTTAAAGTTTCAAAGACAAGGTCTATTCATGTTGTCCATGTAAGTCAGAAGAGAAGTCACAGGTCAAGTCAAATTTGTATTATTTTCTACTTTATTTTTTGGGTGTTAAATTAATTCAATTTCTTGTTGAAAGGTGAGGTCATTCTAAAAAGCCAGTGGCATTACATCTGTTGATTTAATCCACTCGGTCCACACTCACGAGTGGTGTTATTTTAGCTGTAGTCATGTGACTGACATCCAGTCCTCAGCAAGTTAACTCTGTACAAAAACAAAGCTGCTTTTTATTTTCATCAGTATTTTTTTATGAAAAACAATTTTTCTTGTGCATGAAGACCAAAACATATTTGTCTGTTCCTAAATACATTTTTGTTGATATAATACATAGATTACAAACTGTATGAAATGAGACCAAACCAAATTAAAAAAAAAAAAAAAAAAAAAAATTTCGATTCAAATGCATTCAAGAGAAATATCGACTGATTTGGTCCATGTTGTCTTTTGTAGTCTTTGTGTTCACAGAATAGACACTGTTCACCCACCAAAACACAAACTACACTTAAAAAGTCCCAACATTTTATTTTCTTAGCGTCATTTCACCTTATTTGTACTAAAATCATCAGCATGTCTTTACCTTTATATAATGCAATCTTTTAATATACAAGTATCAATAAGCATGATTAAAAGATCACAATGGCTTTGTTATGTCTGTGTTAAAGAATTTCCCATATCCTATTATATTAAAATATTTCATATATAGAGTCTGTATTTAAACAGAGGTTTTAATAATAAAAAGTGAGTTCCCATACAAGGCAATTATAGAATTTAATCAGATTGGGAGTCTCATAAATTAAACAATCAGAAAAAGAAACAAACAAACAGAACAGCAATGTCGTCAGAGGTGTTCTGAATGTCCAGAGAGAAAGAGCGAAAAGATGAGCGACAGACCAGACCGATGAAACCACCTTCCGCTGCCAAATCCAAACATTCGAGGCAGCGACGGCAACGAGGCTGATCTGCCTTCAAACACCTTTAAAATTCAGGCTTTCAAACAACAGAGTCTACAGATTTGTTCAACACACAAGTATAATGACTGTCAAATAAAAAGCACACGCTCTCTCCTTCAGGTACAATATTAGAGTGTTGTTAGAGCTCAGCTGCTGTGTGTACAAATACTCCAGGTGACACCCAAAAAACAAAACAGTCTTTTTGCCGGTTCCTTCCTGTCTTATAAACTAGTCTTAAGCGTACGTACATATGTTTGACTCGTATTAATAAAGACTGTGCTTTTTCCAAACACTTCACACATCTGTTTTCCCGCACTGTTTCTGAGCACTACCTCAGTTAGACAGCATTGTTCTGTGAGAATAAACACTGATTCATTCGATCATTGACACAATAATCATCCTGGATTTCTTGTTTCTTCAGCAGGGTTCAAAAGTGCCCAATAAGCATCAGAACCAATTATTTGTCACATCCTCGTCACATGACTTGATTGGGCTGATGCCTCGTGTTAAGTTCAGCTCGGGTTTCCCCCCCTCAGAGATATGGTGGACCACAGCTGAAGAAGGACCAAGAAGCGACCTTGAGTGTAGTCTCACTCACACGCATACACACTCTCACACCATATACATATGTATATGGTGTGATATACTCGCACACAAACACTGACGCACATGTTCGCTTCAATGTTCCCTCGTCTCCGCAGCCACACTGAAGATTATTTGGAGATTTGCTGTTGGAGGTGAAGGAGGAACTCGTAGTACGACAGGGCCGACTCTGTTCGGTCCTCGATCATGTTTTGCATAAAGCTGGCTTTCAGCTGGCTCTCGTCCCTGAGTCACATGATAATGGGTGGGAAATAAGAACACAATGAGAAGACGTGAGTTGGGATTGCTCCTACATATTCAGGTACTAAAGATGTGCAATTTAAGATACTTTCATTCATTTTAACAGGGAAGAAGAGGAGATGCTAAAGTTTTTCAGAGCATTTCCTTCAACATAGCACAGTTGCAAAGCCTATATTTTACTATTTTGTTAACATGAAGTCTGTACTATAAAGGAGGGTTAAGAGGCCTGTTGACGACCGTCTGGGACTTTCCCATCAATAGTCGTGAAAGAAAAATTGATTTTTACTGACCAGTTAAAAAAGTGTGACGCAAACCAGAAACATAGACCATGGGCTTTCAAAGTAAAAGCTGTGCATCAGCAGTACAACCAACACGTTTCAAAATTAGCAACTTTTACACTGAAGGCGAACGGTCTCTGTTTGCGGTCTGCACCACACTTTTCAGTTTCTTAACTGCTCAGTGAGTAGTCAATATCTGCCCTGCAAACTAGAGGCAGCAACTCCATACCCACCAAAGCTACTGTAAGGTGGTTTTCGATGCTGCTTTGTAAACCTCTTTGCTTGTTACACAGATAGCAAAAAGGTCTATTGGTTTAAGAGATCATCTACAGCTTTTGTCTTTACTTATCAGCCTCAACAGGAAATACAGACCCTCATAAGCCACTTGCCTTACTTGATTTATTTTTTGAGTACATTCTAGTTAGTATCATAAGCGTTAAAGTGCTATAATCCTAAAGGCACAGGGTGGCTTGTATTTTTTAGACCCTTTTGTTTTGCTGGGTTCTGAAAGATCAAGTCTGAAACAGTCTTATATGCCCTGAGAAAACATTAAGTCAACACATCATCCTATAAAAAACAGTTACTATAGTGAGATTTTAGCTGTTATATAGATAAAGCTATAAACTGATCTTGATCTTTTACCTGTGGAAGAGTGTGGGAAAAACTGACAGCACTACAAAAAGTATCGGTAGTTTATAACAGTTCTTAGCTAGACCACCAGGGAGCACACTTTTTACTTTTGCAACTTAATTCATTCTTTTCTAATACCCTGTGAGGTCCCACCTGATGATATGCAGGGAGGGGAAAAATGGCCTCTGATCTCTCAGCCAACCAATGAAAGCTCTGGTTCTCTGAGACTCTGCAGTGTCCAGTTCTGGGAGCAAATACTGTGAGAGGACAGCAACAGTTTTTGTTATCAGCAAGTAGGGGAAGGCGTCAACATATGGAAATGTAGCTGGGCTGCATGTTTTGAGAAGTCTTGTTACAGAGATAGAGCAGTTGACCCAAAGTAAGAAATCCTACCAGATTATCAGGCACAGCAGCGTAGTTTGGAACTCCTAGGACCTGTGTGAGGAAGTTGGAGTGGCAGTTTCGTCCAATCCACAGGTATATCACCTTTGGGAAGAGAATGAGGTTCATTTAAATATCTTTAACTGAAGAGCAAGAAGATTACAGTACTGAGAACTGTGACTGAAGAGCTGAACACCTTTAAGTACAGCTCATAACTGATGTTTTTAATCTAGAACTGTGCTACATGGTTACGTAAAATGTTGAGTGTACAAGTTATTATCAGGCGTGGGGGGAGAATGATTAGTGTCATGGAGAAAGCTGGAGTAAGGCTTCATCACAGAGCTACACATTTGCATAAGTCACACAGAGAAGAGGCACTAGTGATACAAAATGTACAATTCAGTGATTTCTCATTTTCCAGAAAAGGAAATCTCTCAATCTCTCTCACTATGCCAATATGAGCACCTTTTAAAAAGCCAGGAAAAAGGGCCATCTAAAGAATCTTTAGCACTGCTGCAAATAAGTAGGAAAAATGTAGGAAATAAATTAAATGAGACATTCAGGATGGGAAATGCCAAGCTGTAATTTTGCCCGACATTGAAAATTGTTAGCTTGCTCTAAGAGCTCATCTTGAAACGCACAATTCCAGCATCCATGAGGAAAGCTCCCTCCCTGCTGAGCTTCTCCACAGACAGCTGCAGCAGTCTGGGCTGAGGGATGGTCCGCTCGTTGATGTTTAATGCTCCCTGAAGATGGAGAAAAGAAAAGATCACTTAGTAATGAAGAAAAGCTGAAAATAAATAAAATCCTTCCGAAAATGGTTTTAGTCCAGTCATGTAATCTTAAAACTACACATTACGCATAAAAAGAAATAAAACACAGGGCTTTGAAACTTAAATTCATCCTCCTCACCTCGTCAGTCAGGTCGTCGACACGGTACAGAGCAGGATGGATCATCAGCATGGCGTAGGCCAGTGGCTGGTACTTCAGCTGAAGCATGGCAAACACCCGGTCATCCAGCCTGGTGCTGGTGCCTGTCCTGAAGGCTTTCTGCAAAGCGCACATATAAACACACCAAAAACCTTCAATAACGACTCAATGGTGGCGTATTCAAGAAAGGCCTCTGGAAGTAGAGCCAGTTAGTGTTAATGTTCATAAAAATTCGTGAATTTAGCAAAGAGAGGATATAGTAGATCGATCTTTACACCAAACAAAGGTACGTTTAAGCACAGGGAAAGGTTGAAAATCAGTCAGTGGAAAAGATTAATGGCAGTGTAGCAGTTGTGTAAACCAGCCAACCTGTTTGAGCAGCGCAAGAATGTAGAGCGGGAAGAGTCTGAGGCAGGCCGGAACCAGCAGGCCAGGCTGCTGGATTGTCAACACAGACTGCCGGTAAGACATCAGCGAGTCGATAGCAGCGTTGGTCATTGCGTCTCTTGCATCGCTCAGACTTGCCGTCACCGAACGGTCCACAGCTGTGGAGAGGGACATTAAGAACTTTTAGGCAGATATTTGTGGGATTAAATAGAAGGGCTGTCTCTACAAACAACACCGACTACCAGAGTATCATGCATTTTAGGTCTGATATTGTAATATAAGGGGCGCTGTTCCTAGACCATGTTCAAAACGTAAAAAAAAAAAAAATCTGTGATCAAGACCTCAATAATTACACTTTTTAAGACAAACAATGTTTTTTTTTAAATCAGACTTTTATGAACCTTTCTTAAATAATTTAACTGAAACAGAAATATAATACTTCTCTTTACCAGAATATGGTAAACTAAATATTTGTGTGATTAAAAGATGAACTTTCTAAAAAAAAAAGATTCATTAAAATTTTATCTGCTAATCTAATTCACCTAACAGCAAAATTGTTACTGTTAAAATTCACAATATGTGTGACTTTACAAAAACTTATTTTCCTTCATAGTAACGCTCTTCTAATAACATTTCAATGGAGACTATGATGTGAATTCAGTGTGAGGAAATTAAATAAATTTGTGTTTGACAGAATGAATGACCTGCAGGCCTGTGGCTGTATTGGTTCTTGTGGGTAAGCGACAGTTGTGTTGGTGGGCCAGTAAAAGTCTGATCTACTTACCCAGAGGGTGGAAAGAAAAACATGCTGAACACTGCTAAGTGACCCAATTTTATGCAGTAGGACATTTAACTACCAAATGAATTTTCTGTGAATTTAAAATGAAAAAATACGTCCGTCTTTGAGATGTTAACATTTGTGACATGACCTGTAAAAAATGCTTATATTTCCCAGCAGAGCTTAGCATTAGGATTAGTGTTTATAAATCTTTGAGTATTAGCCTTGTGTATATTACAGTTGTGAGTTGATAATCACCATTCACATGGCATGGCTGCGCCTTACTATGCATTTGAAGTCACAGTGCTAAAAACAGCCATGCACCTGATTGTTATAAGATTAAAATGAAATAAACTCTTCTGAAACATAATATCAGTATCTGTTCTCCAAGTTAACATCAGATGAGCCAGCACAGATTTGAATGCTCGGTTATAGAATGGTCGCTAGGACACCGCAGCTGTCACCACTCATCACCATCTGTCAGTGCTTATAACAGCGAAGACGATGAAAACCCTGTGAGGATTTAGGATCCAGCCAATTAAAAGAGTATTAACTGTGACAATGAAGAATAATCGCCTAGTTATGCTTTCCACAAATCCAAGTTTATCCAGATTTTACAAACACACAATCACGTATCCAGAAATTTACAACTGGTGAAGACAAAGCTCTCACACTGTTACTTCACTTTCACATTTCTGTCTACAATTATTATATACAAGTTTCAAAACAAACATAACTGGTAATAACTCTTAAGTATGCAAAAGAGACGTGCAAACTGACCAAATAAAATTAAGTATGAGTGGTAACAAATAACAAAATAATTGTAAAACTTTATTATCTCATGTGAAATTTTAGAAAACAGTTTAGCACGTACCCATGCAAGCCAACAGCCCAGTGATGGCTTGAACATCAGCCCCAGCAAAGATATCCGACAGAGAATTCACCACAGGGAGACACAACGTGTGCACGCGGATCCTCCTCTCTCCTGTAAGGGACCATTCATGTTATTTAAACATATTTTAGTTTTACCCATTTATTGCATATAAAAATGTGTAAATAATAACATCTGCTTTTCATTCGATAAAATTACACTAAGTAGTTCCATCTTATATAATAATAATATTCATAAGTCACTATTTGCATGGATGTTTTTTTTTTACATTTATCAACACTATTCTGCAAAAAGATAAGGAACCCAACAGGCTCGTCTAAGTGAGCATGTGCGTACCTTTGCTGGAGGTGTAAAGCAGCGCAGCCTGGAAAGAGACAACCTGCATGTCATCAAGGTTTTCCTCGATGGACATCTGAACTGCGAAGCCGGCGTCTGGGTTGACGTTGGGGAGGGACAACAGATCTGTGGAGCGCACAAAGAAGTTTCCGTGGAACGTGTGGATGGACAGACCTGCATAGGAACAGAGAGAAATAAAAATCAATTAAACTGGACTGCATTATCTTAAAAGGTAGCCAAAAAACAGAAACCATGAATGAGTCCAAATGTGTTTTCCTCTCTATAATGACTCAGAGTTTAAGCTTTTATGTCCAATTTCCATGATGAGCAAATACAGGGCTACAAAGACCTTGGTGTTAGCAACAGTAAGCATATACTACTAATACTTTTACCAATAAATCAAACATGTAAAGAGAAACTTGAAACCATATTTGGGAATTTATCGCTGTAAGGAAAAGTTTTGAACCAATTACCAGGATTTCTGAAAATGATTTTTGAGTGAAAATCAAAACTATTTGTATTATTATTACTATTACAAGTGTGTTTATCTAATTGTGCCTTGGATGATGATGAATAGACCACATTTTATGCCAAATCAGTGCAGAGTTGCTAATTCCAAAGTTTATAAACAACATCATGCAACGGTAACCTTCACGTCTATTCAACACTCAATCATCTTTAGCTCTTTTGTGCCCACAGACCTTTGGTGCAGCGTATCCTCATGACAGCCTCAAAGCCAATTTTCCTGGTTAAATATCTCTTCAGATCCTTCTGGAAGCGCTCAACCTGAGCTGGGTTATGCTGGTGGTGGTAGGATGGGTAGTAGTAAACGCTCCCTGCTGAATATCTGGATATGCATCCTGCAATAAAGAGAGAACGCACAGAAATGGAGAGAAAAAGCTTTAAAGTTATGAAAAAACAGACAGGTTAAGAATTTCTATCAATTTCCATCTCGTTAGGGAAGAAATAAAATCTGATAGCATCGATTCTGTAATCAGATTTCCCCCCATTAACAACAAATATTTTTGTGCTTAACATTTTTACCACTCAAGAGTTTTAAAATCTAGGAATATGAGGGGATTTTTAAGCAAAAGATTAACATGATAAAAATAATAAAAGATCCACTGCATCCATCTTTTCCCTCCATTGTCCCCCTCCAGTCCATTGAGGTGAGATTTACCAAGAGATGCCAGGTCACAGTACTGAGCACTGAGCAGGAACAGGTCTACAGCCACCTGCTGGCTGGAACAGTCCAGAGCCAGCTTCTTGTAGAAGTCTGTCGCCGGCGCTAAGTGCTGGATATCCTGAAAGGAATGCACATCAGATAGCGCCATGAACATAAAGTGTAAATGTAAAGCAACAACTCAAAAGTCGTCCAAAGTAAAACAAATTTTTACAGTTTGTGGAAAAGCTGACATTTTTTAATCCTGATTTAACCCTCTGGTTTAAGATCACCAAAATCAAATAACTCTAAACATAAAAAGGTAAATCTTCTCTCTCTCTCAGTCTCTGAAAAGTTAGTTTTTCTACAATAAATGTGATCTTATTCCAAAAAAATTGCTTTTATTTTGCATTTACTAGAAAAGTTTAAAACTAGCTGTCAAACATTCGTCATGTCCATTTTTGAAACACTAGTCATTAAGACTTACTTTGTTTAATATAGTTATGGCAACTGGTGTCTACATATAACACAATGGCTCTGTTGGTTATATTTAAATCCCGCTGTATACCATTCAGCACACTTCTCTCATTACCTTGGCAGATGCCCGCTGGTTGGGGTCCTCTCTCGACTGCAGTGCCCCAACACCGAGGTTAGGCAGCTGCGTCTGAAACACTGACATGCGCCCTCCAGTGGGGGACAACAACTTAAAGGCTGCTTGCAGAGCTGAACCCAGGGCGGACTGCGTCTCCATCGTCTTCTCAAATAAATTTGGCAGGCTCTTCAATAGATCCTGCACAAGCTGAAAGGCAAATGGGTGGACATGAGTCATATTTTTATGACGTGTTATCGCTATTAATCAGAGAAAACGGATATGAATATAAAGCAGCAATCAATTTTACTTCCTACATAGTGTAAACACATAGTAAACTGTTACACTGAATCTCAGTTTCAGAATACAGTCATTTATAAATTAAACAACACAGGACTTTAAGAAAATGTGCATTTCTGACCTCTTTGCTTTCATTGAGGTTTACTAGAAGGCTGTCTGGTGTTGGTAAAAAGATATCTGTAGAGAACAAAACGTAATTATTTAAACAAATATAACAGTAGGTAATGACAACCATAAATCAAACAGGCGAGCAACCATAAAGTGGTTTCATTAAGAAATAAGAGTCACTGCATGTATTGCAACAGTTTTTACAAAGTTTCGCTTAAAATAAAGGCGAAAAAACATAAATGTACTAATTTACCAACATGGCATTCATGTTTAGTGTGCCAGTAAGTCTGTGACCTTATATGTTTGCTGGTTCTCGATTCCTGCAGCAAGTGGGCACACAGCTGATGTCAAGTTACTGTGATAATGAAAGTGTGGCCTTTGCCGTCAGCTGCGTCTCACCTTCTATGTCAGACACGATTAGCATCTGAGGCTGGGAAAGTCCTTCCTGGAGGTTGTAGAAGTGGATGGTGCTGTCAAAGGTGATGAAGCCTACCTTAGTCCTTGAGTCTCCAGGAAGTCTAGGACACATAAACACACACTTCAGTAAAGCTTGCCCTTATGTGTCAGGGATAACCTATTTTCATCGAAGTTAGCAAAGACCCAAATTAAGATCCTTGCATTGAGATATTATGTTGGATCGTGTTACTGCACATTACAGAAAATAACCATCTGTTGATCAAATATGTAGACAGGTGGTCAGAGTCAGCCTGCCAGGGGGTCCAGTTTGTCCCACAGGGTAGTTTTGTAAAGAGAAAACCCCTTACTTCAAAGAAATAAGAATCTATGGAGATTTTTTAAGTCTACACAAATTATTTGAACCATCTGAACAGATATCTGTTCTTTAGTCACAACTCCATAGATCCCAGTGGCTCTATATAAAAGCGATCGACCTTCATGTGCAAATATTAACTGTACATGTTTAATATGAGTATCGTCCACCAGAACAGTGTATGACAGAAAATAAGGTACACTATGTTGCCAAAATTATTCGCTCGTGTACCTTCACATGCATATGAACTTGGGTGACATTTTATTCTAATCTATAGGTTTTCATATGATGTCAACCCACCCTTTGCAGCTATAACAACTCTTAAACTCTTCTGGGAAGGCTTTCCTTAAGGTTTAGCAGTGTATTTATGGGAACTTTTGATCATTCTTCCATTCCATTAAGCTCTCTACAAACTGTTCTTGAGCTAATCTAAAGTTCAAATAAAGTTTGGAGATTTGTAGCGAATGACTGGAGAAAGTCGGCGACCTCTGTGCACTATAAGCCTCATTGTTGCACAGGTGGGATCCTATCACAGTACCATGCTGGAATTCATGGAGCTCCTGAGAGCGACCCATTTTTTCACAAATGTTTGTAGAAGCAGGCTGCATGCCTAAATGCTTGATGTTATACTAAATACGGAAAATTACTGTTTAAAAGGCTATTTTGTCAAAAGGACTCTAATGAATCAAAATTAAAGGTTGTACATACGAATTGATGTTGTCCAGCAGTGACTGACAGAACACATTTAGGTAGCCTGTCTCCACTGCATTGTGGGAAACGTCCAGAACGAAGAGGTAAACAGCAGGCTGGGGTGGCCTCAGCTGAACAAAATCAGAGCAAACACAAGCTAGTTAAAGCAGGGTTAATAAAAAGAGACAAAATTACTATCATGTACACAGAAGACTGCACAATTTCCAACCCTCAGAATTTAATTTAGCAGGTTAAAATAGTAAGTTAAAAGCTTAAAGTAACCACTAACTGACTTTGCCCTGAGACAGAGTCCTGGAAAGTATTTTCCCTGCAGAAGGCTACACCTCTCCCACCATCTTTGAAATCTCCCTCAGCTTTCAGATCATAATTCTTCAATTTTACATCACTCTGAAAATGCCAGTTTTATAATAGCATGGATTTAACTGGTGACAGATACAATGTTAAACACCTACCATGTATTCTGAAGGAGCAATGAACTCAATGGTGGCATTCTGGACCTCAGGTCTTTTGTGTGGTTCTCCATATGATCTGCTGACAGGGTTGTACATGAACTCCTCTGGAACTACACACAAACACACAAAACTTCCAGTGAGATTTTAGTACTGAGTCAGATCTTCTACCTGAGGTGAGAACACATATAAACTCTAACAAAATCCTCTTTCCAAAGTAGGTGACATTATTCTCTCTTTTATACTTAATCTGTGGGTGGAAAAAACCTCTCCTGTTACTTACCATCATTAACCCGATAGCAAAGGTTGCACTTCCACCTTCTCTGGTCCAGGAAAGAGACAAAGGGATTGATGTAGGTTCTGCAGAACCGACACCTAACAATCGTGCTGGATGTCACAACAGGAAGCTGCTGTATTTATAAAAGCAGATGAGAAACAACTTCTGTGAGACGAGAGCCTCGAGGCAAACATTATCTGGTTTGCAGCTTATTTTAAATGGCATTTCAATAAAGACGTTTCTTGTTGCTGTCCAAGCTGTGAAATGTCTCTGGAATTTGTGTCCTCAATTAACAGGGAAACATAAACGTAGTCACTGTGATAGATTTTGCCCAGGGGTGTATTAAGTCAAACCCTACTGGGAAATAAACAGCTGTTAGGAAGACACTGTTTAACCAATACAAATTTGATGAAGCTCATGCATCTTTTTAAAGATAATATAGCTGTTATATGTTGGTGTTATATGAGGATGAAACGTTTAAAAATGGCTCTGGGAATGCCTCATTTTTAAAAGCACCACTAATGAGATTAGACAATTAGCTCCTGTAACATATATATGATTTTTGTGGGGAATTCATTTAATGAACTATAAGTCACAGGCATATGTTTAAGGAAGAAGCCAGAGGAATGAGGCACCTATTCCAGAAAGACACAGAACAAACTCATTCACTCTGAGTTAAGCATGTGTGTGCCACTAAGTAAAGAGGAAAGTCTGTTCCACTGAAGGGAGACATTACCGCACTTTTATCATTCAAACCAGACATGCAGCAGTAAAGGAACCAGAGTTAAAGCAGCAGAAAGAGTCAATATCCTAACGCTACATTTTATTCAATGCAATCCTCTTATTTATAATTTAGTCTTTTGTCAATGTGTGATAAGTGCCAATTGCCAGGTTTGACCCAGTGATAATGATGACATAAAACTGCATGGAAGTGTTTAAGATCAAGACAAATTCTTATTCACTTCAAATTAGAGAAAAACAGACAAAAACAGAAGTTAATACATGCAACCTATATTCATAAGCAGTCTATAAATATTCTCACCATATGACATAGCTATGACAGCGATATATGGAGAGAAATTTGTCTTAAAGTGTTAGTGCGTGAAATGATTAATACATGTGCAAATGCATAATACTGCAACCCCTGCATTCATGTAAATAACCAAAATAAGTCACTGCTTCGAAAGACATTTGAATGCTGGGAGAAAACGGAGACATCTGAGCTTTGGGTGTAACACAGTATCGTTTCACATAGAGCAGACCTTTTTTCTAAACAGACAGAAATACCTCGCCACCCTCTGTCTAAAAGCCATTAACCTACACCTCTAATTGTTGATACATGATAATGACTACACACATTTGTGACTAAATTGTCTCCTATGTGTCACCAATATTATGTGTATAACTACTTAAATGTGAGGACAGAAATCAGTGCTGTCTCCTCACACTCAGGATTGATCATAAAAGTGGTAATGATAGTAAACATAGGCCCCAGGTAACAAATCTCCAGCTGGGATTGTGGTGATGTGTATGACATGTAATTAATGTTCTCTGCTTTGAAATAAACGAAAGATAGACTCAGCACTTGTTGCTGAAAACCTGCTGGCTTGCAGCTGAGGTTCACAGTGGAAGCTGTTGGAGTAACTGACCCAGTTAAACTGACTGACAACTTAGAATGAACATTCAATAATAAATTGACACGTTACCGAGAGGTCTTTGAATGGGTGAAGCAGCAAGCCCAGTGGCATCTTGGCTTTATTGAGCAGAGACTGGGTCTGAGGGATGCTGGTGAGTGTAGAGCGAAAAACTCTGGAAGCACACAGAGTGACAAATTCAGCGTTTAGGCTGTGTGCACTTAACACGAAACAGTGATATGATTAATGTCCCACTTTAAACAAAGCATTTCTTAACCATTTATAATTTTGAGTTTAAAAACATAAAAACTAAACAGAGATCATTTACAGTATTACTAGCTGTATGAGATAAAAACAATCAATTCAATGAAAGACAAATGCAACAACACGGAAAATTAGTTCCTTATGACTCACTCTGGGCTGCAGTTGAGTTTCTGCAGGTCCTGGGTGAGGCAGGGAGTCGGGGCAGGGACTGGAGCCGGTGGCAGCAGGTTCCTCTCTTGCAGGAGGTTGACCACTCTCAGGGCCTCTGGGGTGCTGGACTGGAGGCTCATGGCTGCTAATGATGGGCTTAGCTGAGCTGGTCCCGGGCCACCAGGTGGCTGAAACAAAACAAACAAACAAACAAACAAACAAAAAATACATTAAGCCTAATAGTCTAATAATATTTACTTGACACAATAAATGTGAGAATTTTGAAGTCCACACGTGTTCAAGTGCTTTTTCCTAAATTCGTATCTTGAAATAAAATTAATTTAAAATTGATTTAAATATCGGTTGCAAACTGTTCCCTCACAAGCCCTTTACTATAATTCACCTAAGTTTGTTTAGCCATTCCAGTTCTATAACCAGTTCAACCCTATGCAACAGTGAAAAAAGCAACCCAGTGTTGGTTATTCTCCTTTCCATATAACCAGCACGTGTTTTGCATTCATGTGCAAGTCAATGAAAAATCGAATAAACAAACTGTGTATGCAAAGTGTTCTAAAATTATGTGGAACTGGGTTGTGACGTTAGGCTCACCTGCTGATATGGCTGAGGTGCTTGAGTGTAAGGCTGCGTGGCGGCTTGCATCGCAGGGTGGATGGGAGGGGTGGCGTGGGGAGCTGAGGTGTTCTGGTACCCAGGAGGGAGCGAAGGGTAGTGGCCCAAGTGCCGACCGGGTGGTCCAGGCTGAGTCGGGCCAGCTATGGAAGAAACAGTAACATTAAAAACATTTACACTTACAAAGGTTTACATGAGAACTCAAATAGCAGACATCACTAAAAATGGGAAGCTCTGTGGCTGACAGGTACACACAGCAGCAAGGCATATTAGTCACCAACTTAAATAAAACCCAGTGGCAATATTTCGTGGTAATGAGGATTTGAATGTGTTTTTATAGGCTTAAGCTACTTAATGTTTGTCTACACAAACAATGGCTGTTAGCAGAAGTTGTTTATTGTGGATTTTGTTCTTTTCATGGGATTTGCTGATGATATGAAAAGTATATTACAAATTCCGAGACGCCTGCTGGTATGGAACCAAAGGGAAAAACAGAAAATAAAAGACTGTTCACCAGAGCTGACAGTCGCAGTGGGATTTGTGACAGTTAATATTTAGATATTTGTACTGAAAAGGGAATCCAGTTGGGATTCAAGACGTACATCACACAATTAAAGATTGTACAATAAAATGTAGAAATGCCTCATATTCGTCAAAAAATGCAAGGACAGGCATTTGCAAAGGCTGCAAATGTGACTGGTGTGTGCACAGAAAACCGCCTTACCCATTTTGTTGTCAAGATGATTATAGCTGTTTGTTGTTTGCGGGCCATTGCCAGCCACAGCTCCTGTTTCAAAGCAAACACAGACATGATATGAATAATTTAAGCGGCACTTTGCCAACCACAAATAACAGGGATGGAACAAAATGAACTACAAAAAGGGTCAAAACAATGACAATACTAATGATGACGCAAATTAAAGAGACACTAAACGTGTTTATGGGAAGTATTATTACATTGGTGATTTTAATATTTAGAAGTTGAGCCACATGGGAGACATGGTGAGTCTAGATGACTGAAAAGGTAAAACACACCATCAAGAAATAATTGTTTCCATGGATGCTCAGTTTAGCACTAAAAAGATACAGAGTTACTATGAATGCCATTACAATATCTCTAGATTAGTTTTCATTTTATATCCATTATTCTTTAAGACTATGAGATGAAACCTCTGTATATGCTCAATAGTGCATCCAGAGATACAAGCAAGAACTGTACAGATGAGACAGGACTGGCAGCACAGCACTGACACAACATCTAAGAGCTGAAAACTGATTTTGCCACACCTGGACATTCAATATCTCCCTCCTGGCTGTCGGGCTCAGTGGGGGAAAAAGTGCTGTTAACAACACCCCCACACTGAGCTGGCATGTGGTGGAAGGAGCGGAGGGAGGGAAACAATGGAAGGTGATCAGGAAAAAAAATTTATAGAGATAATAACACGTTGGCTTATACAAAGGATATGCAGTCATTAAATATCACGATTATCACATCTGTGGGAGTAAAATGTTTAATGATTATTCTAATGTTTCCAAATGTGCCGAGATCTGGGCTCTGTGTTAAAAAAAAACAAAAAAAACAAAACTTATAAAAAGATTACACATACCATCTGCTTTAGGTGGTGGTGGTGTGGCATTTGCCACTGGAGGACCAGTGGGAAGCGATGTGGGTTTCATTGTTGGTGGTGGGCCTGCAGGTGTTGGACCTGTAGGTGGAGGCCCATAAGCAGGCCTGTTTGACTGGCCTTGGTATGTATGGGGCGCCATGGGATTCATTGGTGGAGGTGCCACACCTGTAGAGAAACAAAGACTGTAATTTGTCATGATTTCCTCTATTCAGTGTATAATGAGCTAATTACTTTGCATACAAAATGTGAAAAAATTTGTGAGGTTTCTTTGACACGAGAACTGGAAAACTTTAAAATTAAAAGCCTTGAATCAATGACTATGTTTATCTTTTCTTCTCTTTAATAAATGACTAATTAATCAGAAACCAGTGTAGCTTGTTTCTCTGGCACACAGCCGTGACTTTAGCAACATCTTCTATCATTCCTGTGAATCTGTTGACATCATGTTACAGCTTTCAGCTGGTCAGTTATCACTTCTAAAATTATGTCAAGGTTGCAGTCTATGTAAAACAACTCCAACATGCTATCATGTACAAGACATCAGAGTGTACTGTACCGCACTAAGCTCCAGGCTGTGGTGACAGCAGCTGGTGGCGCTACTAACCTACAGCAAGTTAACCTCAGAGCACAAATGAATTCATCTGTACTAACACACCAGCTAGTTCAGGACTGTCTGTGCCCAAACAAACACTTCTTGATGAACTTAGTGATGACTGAAGACAGCAAGTATGTTTACTCTTTTACTATGTTAATTACGCAATTTCCTAAGCTTGTATGCTAAGGGTGGGCAACATTTGCTTTCTGTCTTGAAGAAAGACTCCCGTTTTACCTACTTAAGTTAAACTCCATCAATTTGCTAGACAGCATTACCTCCTTTACAACAGGTCTGGCCAAGACGAAACAATTTTTATTTGTTTTGTTGTTGTTGTTGTTGTTTTGCATTAATATGAGACACTCCAAACTAAAACAATCCACCTAAACACTTATTATTTAATTTTTGTAATATTTACTGTTGTAGAGCAGGTGTTTGCAGCAATGAACTAAGAAAATATAAAGGTTCACAGACACAAATTAGGAGCAAATATTTAGTCAGAAGAATGACTAGTGAGAATTTAATCATTTTGTCTATGACTTGGACAGGTATCTGAAACTTTAAAACCGCTGCAGTAGAGACCTGTATCACCAAATTAGAGTGAATTAAGACATTGACAAAGATTACTAAATACATTAAGTTATTAGTAATTATGATGAGTGTCAAATCATGCCATCGGATGTTAAAAGGATAGATGTTTCTAAGAGCTCTAACATGATGTCATGATGTCTTTGTCGCCTCACAGAAAAAGTGGCACACCTTCTGTTAGAACTGGGCTTAGAAGCACTGCAGACCAATTACAGTCTAGTCTAGTGATTCAGTCACATTCAGTGCTCTTTAATGATTTGGGGGATTTGTTTAGACTTCTTTTTTAGGGATGCCTGGGGAGGATTTAGACTGTCTGTCAGGCGGATGTATTTGTGTGTGCATGTGCTGTATAGGTTGCACACACAATCAGTGGCTGTATAGGTTTCCATTGATAGCTAGGACCAAATCCAATCCACTGGAGTTTTATGCCTGATCATCTCAATTCCTTTTATTAACACTGCAGTGGTTTTCTAACAGTTCACACTGCAAAGCAAAGATTTTGTTCCACACTGTGGGAGATAACACAATAGTTGCACTGATGCTGGAAACCTATGTCCTCCTACTTTTCTTCCCAAAAACAAAAAAACAAAAAACAACAACAACACTAAAACACAAAAACAAAAAAGGACCTGACCTATATGAAGAAAATCTTAATAACATCCATCCTTAATGAAGTTTTAAAATGTAGTTTGGCAGGTTCATTATGTATATAGACATAAAATGGCTTCAAGTATGCTTTTGCAGACTGAAGCAACTCAACAGAACAAAACCCAATTTCATGATCACAAGCATTTTTTTTACCACTTAAACTAAATGCCCTTTGTGCCCATACAGAGTTTATTCAAAAACTGATTTATGTAGTAAAAGCATAAATAGACAAAGAACTTTAAAAAAACAACAACAAAAAAAACCCTTTCCTTTACAGTTTTCAATGTTACAGAAAATGTTTCACTAATAATAATAATAATAATAATAATAATAATAACAATAACAACAACAACAACAAGAAGAAGAAGATATCAACACATAGTTCTGATGGGGCAATTTTAAATCAAAGTTGACTGAAAAAATTAAAGACTCAAAGCAACCGTTTGACCTCTGCAAGTACTGCACTAAAACAAACAAATGGGAAAAAAAAATCTAGGTTAAATTACAGAAATGCTTTGTGAAATCACTTTGCCTCTGTGGTCACATATTACACAACCAATTTATGTCAAGCTAAATCATGTAACAAAGCCACTTCCTGTTACTAAGACTCTTTATGAGTGTTTTTTGTTACCGCTGTGAGCTAACTGAAGGCTACCCTTAACCCTCACAGGAAATTAAAATGTAACCAATAACCTTGAGATACAAATGAGTGCAACTGGTTAATATCAACAGCATTAATTTGTGCATTTTTCATTTTTCATCATTATCACCAGAGGCTGTGCCAAAAAGTAAAAGTGGTCCCAAAAGCTAAATTATATTCAGTATAAGAAACAATATGGTTTGTATTTGAACTTTGTATTCAGACTAAATGAGTTTCTGTGCTTGGGAGGGAGCCAGAGGCCACAGCAGGCCAACATGTTCAGTGTAGGAACAGAGGGCAATGTCCAGCTCCAACATATCAGCATTCTAGATATGCATATCTCCAACACATATCAATGAAAGAAGACAATGACAGGGAGAAATTAAAGCAATCACACCACAGAAAAGATACCAGAAAGGAACAGTGCCAAATTAACACACATTACAGTATATATTTTCAAGTAATTAAATAGGCAATAATTGCATGATAATAATTGGTTAAAGTTCAGTGCTTTCAGTGAAACCCGAGAGGATGATTCATCTATTTACCGATTTGACCCCAGGACAGGGGGCATCATTATGGTTTCATTTGCAACAACTAAGAATTGTTGCCTCACCACTGTGTAATTACATCTTTTTTAAAAATGAAATTGCATTGGGTTACTGCAGTGGCCTCTGGAAGTTCAGTGTTGTACACAGAATTCAACTGAACAGTGCATAGTGATGTGAAAAAATGTTTGCCCTCTTCCTGATTTCCAAGAGTTTTGCACATTTGTCACACTTGTTTCAGATCATCAAACAAATTTTAATATTGGACAAAGATAACCCGAGTAAATACAAAATGCATTTTTTTAAATGACGATTTCACTGATGATGGGAGAAAAGTTATCCAAACCTACCCGGTCGTATGTGAAAAAGTAATCTCTCCTCTTGTTAAACATAAATTAACTGTCACTAAACACATTTTTTGGAAAGCTGAATTCAGTTTCACTAAACTCAAGCCTGATTACTGACAGACCTGTTGAAACAAGAAATCACTTAAATAGAACCTGTCTGACAAAGTGAAGCAGGCTAAAAGACCTCAAAAACAACACATCATGCCAAGGTCTGAACCTAAGAAACAAAGTCACTGACAGTTACCAATCTGAAAAGGTTTACAAAGCCATTTCTAAGGCTTTGGGACTCTATTGAAGCCATTATATACAAATGGAGAAAACTTGGAAGATTGGTGAAGCTTCACAGGAGCAGCCGGCCTACCACAATTATCCAAGAAAGCATGGAGAACACATCTAGGAGGTCACAAAAGAACCCAGAAGAATATTAAAGAACCGCAGGCTTCATGTGTCTCTGTTGAGGCCAGAGATCATGATTCAACAATAATGAAGAGACTGGGCAAAAATTGTTATACCACCGGTAAAATATGGTGGTGGTAGTGGGATGGTCTGGGGCTGTTTTACTGCCTCAGAACCTGGAAGACTTGCTGTGATATATGGAACCATGATTTCTGCTGTCTACTAAAGCATCCTGAAGGAGAATGTCCAGCCATCTGTTCGTGATCTCAAATTAAAGTGCACTCGGGTTCTGCAGCAGAATAATGATCCAAAACACACTAGCAAGTCCACTTCTGAATGACTTAAGAAAAACAAAATGAAGACTTTAGAGTGGCCTAGTCAAAGTCCTGACCTAAATCTGACTGAGATGCTGTGACATTAGGGGTGGGGGAAAAAATCGATACTGTGTAGTATCGTGATATTTTGTTTGCTAATAATGTATCGATACAGGGACAGCAGAAATCGATATTTTGTTACAAAAAAGGTTTTTTTGCTCAGAGCATGTTGATCCTTTTTCTGAGCAAGAATCCTGACATTCCTTCACTGTCCAAATGTGTTTAACTTTTTTTTGGCAGCAATAAACATGACAGTTTACTTATTTTAATTTAAGAACATGTTTTATTTTAGATAAGTTTAAAACTTTTTTATTTAATGTAAATTTATATTTTGTTTTAATTTACTTTCAAATTCTTCAGTTGCTGAAGGGGCTGCATAGTTTTCATAAATTGCATAGTTCAGAATAGCTATAATTGTACCATAAAAAAAAAAATCGCAATAATATCATATCGTGCGTTAAGTATTGTGATAATATCGTATTGTGGGATGTATGGTGATTCCCACCTCTATGTGACATGACCTTAAAAAGATGGTTCATGCTTGAAAACCCTCCAATGTGGCTGAATTATGGTAAATGGCGTGTATTTGTATAGCGCTTTTCTAGTCCCTAAGGACCCCAAAGCGCTTTACACAACCAGTTATTCACAGAGGCGCACTGACAGAGGCGAGGCTGCCGGACACTGGCGCCGGGCCCTCTGACCACCACCAGTAGGTAACGGGTGAAGTGTCTTGCCGAAGGACACAACAACCGAGACTTTTGTGGGATTATAATATTCTTTTATGCCATGTTAGACCCCTAATTAAAGATTGTGAATTA